CTAGAAAATGAGTAGACGTTTTTTTTATATGCGTAGCTTAGATGTGGCACAAGGCCGAAACTGTGGGGCACCCAGTGAGAATCTAACTCACTGTAAAGTAGTAATTCATCTAGCAAGACAGGTTTACTACCCATTATACCACTTTGAATTGCTCAATACTAAAGAAGTCTCAAGTGTATTATGAGAAGAGTTTTAGTTGACGGACTGTACACATGTCGATATCCGATCAATATTGGCTGGGTCACAGTGGAGAGCGGTTATGATTTTAAGAGACCCGAAACATGATCCACAGCTAAAACCATCACACAGGCATCAAGCAGATGTATTTCACGGAATACACATATATATGTATCTTCAATAAAATATTCAATAAAAATACAGTCAAATTAAGCTACAGCTGCACAAGTAATTTAGATAGAATAATAAAAAGACAAAATAACAGAAACACAACGTGCAGCAAAATAATACTAGTAATTTCTGCAAGTGTAGAGATTAGATGCCCGCTAAATGGAGCTTGCAGAATGGAATCTATTATATATAAAGCAGGAGTAACAAATTAAAATGGTCAAATTAAAACATATATAGGCTACATGAAAAGCTCTTTCAAGCGCATATGGTACAATCACATATCGGCTTTTAAGCTACCTGACCTTAGATACTCCACCAAATTTCCAGCCACACGCGGAATTTAAAAGAAAAAATAATAGGGACCCGCTTCTAAGGTGGGCAATTTTAAAAAAGGTAAAAACATATAACAATTATACCCGCATTTGCAAACCATACCAATATAAGAATTTAGTAATTATGATTTTCCTGGACCCCAAAAAACTTTTAAACCAAAAATCAGAAATTTTAAGGCCTTGCCCTCATATAAAACATTTTTTATTAAGTGAATATGAAGCCGGTTTAAAAAAAAAAAATCTAAAATAAAAAAAATAAAATATTGCTACAATTTAGACACGCCTTCCTCCATGTCTGATTTGCCTCTCCATTCTTTTCTTCACCTCATTTTACACTTTCCTTCCTATTATACCGAATTTTCTGTCTTTCAATCATCATACGCCGGTTATTTTTTGAACGAATGTAGCGTTCTTTGTGGGTTTTTGTTTAAATAAAGCGTTAAAGTGGGCATTTTGAAATTAACCCCCGACGAGACCGCCATGTCGAAACCGTATCGCGTATTTTAATTGACCTCATGATTTTTAAGCTATATATATATATATATATATATATATATATATATGCGTGTGCATGTGCGTCTGTGTATGTGTATGTGTGTGTGCGTGTGTGCAAGAAAATCTATACTTAGTCTTCAGACGACGCGTTTCGTCATCTTAAATGGTTACCATGGTAAATGTGACATGTTCATTTTGCAAGAAGTATATGTTTGACTCAATTTTTTTAAAATTTAAGAACGCTCATAAATATTCATCAAGTTAACGCCTATTCTTTTCAGTTAACCTGATGAATATTTATGAGCGTTGTTAAATTTTAAAAATTTGAGTAACTGTCAAATATATACTTGTTGCAAGATAAAACCATCACATTTCCCTTGATAAAGTCTGTCAGGTGACGAAACCCGTCGGCTAAAAACTAACTATAGTTTTTCTATTGTCCTTTCTTTCATATATATATTTTTTTAACATACAACGTGTGTTAGCACGTGCGATACCCTGTCTTCATCAGCCGCCGACCAGGGGTGATCTCATGGTTTCGGTGGCTATGGCGGGACCGCCACACCTAGCGCCACCAGAAGCGTTTGCCACCAGGCAGGGTATGAAGATAAGCTAACTAATTGTTCCTTTAAGTAAAATCTATCTGCAATGAAAGTTCCTTGAACGCGTTTGCTGTTATTGACGCGCTCGTAAAAGTCGTTATAGACGACCACGCAAATATCTCACTTGCGCATATTAGGTCGTGATGTTGCGCGCATTCTATTTGCTTGTTTTGATCTCGACCAAATCCAACTTGACGCGTGTTAAACAGTTTTTTGAAGGCGATGCGAAACGCTTTTCAACCAACGGCCAGTGATGCCTATTTTTAAAAGGAAGGAAATGACCGAATGTCCCAGAAACCCACGACACCCAATCTCAATAGGCATCACGTGACACGTCCAACCATTTGCCATACATTCGGCACGCAGTGACTCGTACCGGTTTTTCTTTAGTTCGTGCCTCCACCCTGTTCTCTTCCCAAGGGACTGTTAGTTCTATTCGGAAGACAGTCTTTTTAGAGTCGGACTACAACACAATGTCGGGACGCTTGTCTGTCTGTGCGATGTCCATTGGAAATTTTAAGGATATCATTAGATCCACTAAAACCTTCCAATCACTGGCACCACTCAGCAGCTTTATATTGGGGGTTGTTTGTTTTTTCTTTGCAGGGCATTCCCCTTCCTTATGGAATTCAATCTTAGTTTCCTTGGTTGCCACAAGCTGTTGATTTGCTGTCTCACATTGTGTTCTTATTAGATCCCTTATCACCTCTAATACCTTGTTGTGTCACCACGTGTACATATGGAGCGATTGTGGACCAGCAGAAAGCAAATGACGCAAGGTACCTCGGTCTTTTTGACACGAAAAACAGAGATCTGTATCTGTGTATCCCCACATTTTCAGGTTTGTTTCATTTGGGAGAAGATCGTATGTAGATCGAAGAAGGAAAGATATCGCCAATGGTTCCATCGCATTTAATGAATTCCACGAAATTTTAATGGGTTCGATATCATTCCATGTTGTCCACTTACACTGTTTCGCTTGAGTAATAGGAGTAGCTATTCTATGCTCCTCTTCGAACATTTTGATTTCTTCAACTACCATACGCCTTTTTCCCTTTGCTTTCTCCTTGGAGAAGTATTTGTGTGTCGTGTTACCCAATACAACCCGATTATTCTGAATCACGCCCATGATATCTCTGACTCGCAGCCTGGTTTCTGCTTCTTGTGTGGCCTCTGCAGCTGACCACTTTGTACCAGATTTAATCTCTGGACGCGCCTTCCGTATGCAATCATCAGCTGAGTCTCTCATCATCATATGAAGGCGTACCTTCCCAACCTTGAATTCCTCCACCAATGAATGTATAGGGAGCTGCAGATGTCCGGAGTTGGTATATAGGCCCACTTTCGAAAAACAAGGTGGAACTCCAAGCCACTTCCGCAAGTACTTATTGATCACTTGCTCAATGCGCTCAATACGAGATAATACATTTGCAGAGGCCACAAAAGGCGGGGTAATAGACCATGTTGATAGCACCAGGCCTTCATTTTGCCAGGCAGATAGGTTCTATCGATCGAAATTAGACCCTTTAGAGTTGATTTATGAACCTCCGTACCCCGATGTCGATCAGTCAGTGGAATTGTATACAGCCGTCCGAGGCTCTTTACTGGCATTTCCTTAACTGTTGGTATCGTGTCATCACCAATTTTAAAGTGAATCTCCTTAACTAATGACAGGCTTCGACTTTTCTTGAGCTTTACCTTCATTCTGGCCCATATGAAAAGATCGTAGTTCTTTTCTAACAGCAATTTTAGAAGAGACGAGAATTGTGATATCATCCATAAAAGCCCTAGAAGGGGGAAGGACTGGCTGTTCTTCAGTCATCACTCCTTTGGCTATGGTTAATGCGCCTCGTAAAATCAGTTCCATGGTCAAAACGAAAAGAAGCGGGGAAATCACACAGCCCATCATGATGACGATCTCAAGTGGTTGCCACTTGGTAGTATAATTTTTAACGGTGAATTTCATGAAAGCTGAGTCGAAATACTTCATTATGATTTCCCTAATCTTGCCAGGGAAATTGAAAAAGTCCAGAGCCATTCCTATTAATTGATGTGGGACTGACCCATATGCGTTGGCAAGATCAAGCCATACTACATGGAGTTCTGTTTTATTTCTTTTGGCTGATAGTATGGAGTTCCATATCATTTGTGCATGCTCCAGACAACCAGTGAAGCCAGGTATCCCAGCCTTCTGGACAGATGTGTTGATGTAATAATTTCCTATAAGAAAATCTCTCATGCGACGAGCGAGGACTCCAAAAAATATTTTTCCTTCTACATTAAGGAGGGATATGGGGCGAAAATTGGAAATGCCTTTAGAATCCATCTCTTTAGGTATCCAAATCCCATCAGCCAAACACCATTCTTGTGGTACAATATTCTGCTTCCAAACCCGCTGAAGGAGGACAGTAAGTTTCCTAAGAACGCATGGGCATTTTTTATATAGTTTATATGATATCCCATTCATTCCAGGGCCACTACCAGCGCGTGCCTTTCGGACATAATCTCGGACTTGACTTAATTTTATCCCACTATGATCAAACATAACTGTCGGATCTTGAGGTATTGGTAAATCTTTTATAAGAGGGATTGGTATATCACGCATATTATCTGAATACGTCTTCTTCAAGTGATTCTCCAACTCCTCCTTATTTATTTATTTAGTTTATGAAAAATTAGGTAATCCGTATGGGTAAACCTAAGGAGGATAAAATCCAGAGAGCTCAATGTAAATCCAGAGCAAATAATTTAAATAAATTATATATATATATATATATATATATATATATATATATATATAGTTTTTATATACAAAAACCCATTCATAAAGAAATAAAATAAAAAAAAATAAATAAACCTCCATAGACACGTAAACCAGATGGGCGAAAACATCTTCCGTTTTAAATTCAGACAACCCCACCTTACCCTGACTTGACATCTATGAAAGTAACTCTATACTGATACTTATTATTAACACCCAATACACCCCTACCTATGTTAAACAATCAGCCCTGGCTGTTACCATGGAAATTTTGATTTCAATTATGAATATACTATTAAAACACGCAAATTTAAGAAATAAGTTATTCCAAAAAAAACTTCGCTTGAAGATGGAACAGAACTTACTTTAATTCAATTTGATTCAAATAATTATATTGAAGTTTTCGGCTCTTGTTTTGAAACATGAGACCTCTTATGTAGCGTGTTGGAATCATATTTTTAA